CACGTCGTTTCTCAATGTCCAGTGCGTCCTCATCTTACGACAGCGACTCGGGCCTCTTATTTTCGTGTTGCGCACCTGGCCACCTATCATCCGCTATTTCGACTTCAGCCGTTCAACTAGTTCAGTACTACTGGTTCTGGTAAGCTTTTTCGGGTCGCGTATCCACAGCGTTGGATACATTCGTAGCAATATTATTCTTTCGATGAGCTCAATATAGTTAGCCGTAGGACTATTGCTCTGTTACCCATAGTCTCCAGACACGGTAGGCGTGGACGTCGTATAGGATATGTACTATGCTTTTGAACCATGCCTTTGCCTGCCTGCTGTTGCTTGGCCACCGAAACAGTAGTAGAAATTTACGTTTTGAGGTGGCCGGTATTCAAAAATGTTTCCTCTATTCGACCCGGTATGGGCGTTCAAGTTGCCCAGTCGATTCACCAATCGTTCACCACTGCCTATTAGGCCGGACTGGTGTTCTATCTGCGTATCGGAGGGCTCTTTCCTCTTCCTAGTAATTGCGTGTTTTAGCATTTCGCCAGTTAATGTGACGGCAAAATATGCTATTTGTGCGCATTTGTTCTTAAATATAACGGAACTTGGGCATTAGCATCTTTATTGGTGTTTGCCGGCCGATTGTCTAACTGGTACATGTTGTCATTCTTGGCAGTCGGATCACGTGTTATTTTTATATGCTAGACCTTGAGTTTTCACTGTTCATGCGGTTAAAGTAGGTAAATAGATACACCCGTGGTTATATTAGAATTTGTCCTTGTGCACACGGAAGTTTAAACTATGGAAATTGTTAAACGTAGCTATGAAAATTTTGTTACATTTCCCCTACCTCTTACCGTTTATTGGCGACTAGCGGCCCTAAAATCGTGATCGGGAGTCACTTCTTGGGCAATAGTCGGCAGCGGTGATCAGTATCAAGGTTGTTGTTGAATAGACATGCTGCTGCTGATGGAAGGTTAGGGTGAAGGTTTAGCAGTTAAGGCCAGTAACTTTGCAAGGCTATTATTAGCAGCTGCATAACGAGATTGACACTTAGGAGATGTGTTAAGATCCGGGTTTCGCCGTTACACTAACTGGTCTATCCATCACTCATCACACTTAGGTTGGTTGAACCGCAGAGTGAGTGTGCTCCTCGTAAATGTGCATGTCGGTCAAAGATCGAACGATTGGAATCGCGGTAGGACAAACGTCGCAGCACTGGACCAGTTGTTTATAATGAACTCTCGTTTCCGAGACTGCAGGCAATATCTAGCCCCATGGCATAGATATGCTATTCCAGCTAGGTGGTGGAGGCAGCTAATGCATGGTACTGTCTCTAGCAGCGGCCCTTGCTCGGCCAAGGTACACCGGCCTCGATGCACTGATTCGGCTAAGTCTGCCCTTTTTATATCTATCCAGTAGAAAGTAATCGGACTATACTGAGGCGTACCCCAGAATGTTTCCTAAGGAGTGCTGGCAGATGTTGCTGTGACTATCGACTGTGTGACTAGACGGTTCCCCTGGCTGATCGTGACCGCACAAATCTGCTCCGAGTAGACTTGCCCGAGCTCGAACCACTTTCGGCTAATGAGGACGCATCAAAGCGGCACTTGATGATGAAGACGAGTCAGTTCTATTCTCCTATGGCATCTAATTAAGTACAACCTTAGAGATGTTGGGAATAGCGCCCCATTTTCTGAATACAGTAGGCTTGTCCTTATCAAGTGTTATTCCGTTCGAAGACGTGCACGAAAAAGACCTTAATCTCTCGTCTAACAAAGGGGAGGGTGCATGAGACGATGTCGAAACTTAAGAACAAGGTGCCTGGCGTTGGTTGCCTTGCAGTGGAAGTCCATGGTTACTCTTTAGCAGTGTTAAAGTGCCAGATACACGCGCATTCCGACTTCATTTGGAACAGCAGT